AGACTTGAGATTATTTAATAATCTTATAAAATATAAATTACTTACCATTTTTTAAAGCACTTTCTTTAGTTTCATCAAAGTCTGGTTGTTTGATATTCCATTTAGTTAGTGGTAAATTTTCGTACTCTTCCATCGAAAGCAATTTGACCATTTCCATTTTTTTCCCTTTATATGTAGGTACAAATACTTCCCTTTTTGTTTCAAAAAGATGCTTCAATATGGGTAATGTATTGATTTCATGTTGTGTACTTAGGAATAATGAGACCCTCCTACTTTGTTGAAATTGTGGCATAGCACATAGCTGAAGTATGTAGAATCGTTTTTTCTTTAGTAATAAGTTCATTCAAAAAGTAATAGCATGTAACATAACCTTCTTCTGCTTACTATAATAAGTTAGTTATGTTTTTATATACTTACTTTCTCAAATACTTTCCTTGATTGTCTATTTTGTTCTTCAGAACTAAGTTGGTCAAGAATAACTTTCACTTTTTTACGTAATTCACTTTTAGCAGATTTGATTACAGACATGGTTTTTGTGAGTTCTTTCTAGTAACACAGAATTTTCCCATATGTCTTACTCATGTAAGAGAGCAACCACATGTTTTCCAATTACAATAAAACTAAATGTGTGACCTGTAACCGCTGTTATCATAAAATGTACAAATACAAGTATTCAGTAATGTTTGATAATATCTTCAATTTTATAAATTTATCTTTCCTCCTCTCCAATCAGAAATCTTTATGATATACACAATTTGAATAAATAATAATACTTTATATATTGTTTAAATTAAATAATCGATGTAATGAAAAAGATAATAATAGATAATAATCAATATTTTTATTTTATAGAGTGACTCATTTTAAACAATCTATGCAGATGATGTTTCTTGAGCTATTTGTTTATTAGGAATTATACAGGATGTCTGCAAATACTTTTTGCGATGAATCACTATCGGTGGTTGTGTGCACTTAAAATTGATATCATTGGGGTGTCTGTAAATTTCCTTAATAACTTTAGATAGATATGGAATTATTGTTAATGTTTATAAATGTAGGAAAGTTTCGGATATGTTCTGTGGAGGAAAAGTTTGAACGATTGTGATTGATATTGAATGACCTTCAAAGGAAATCATATCTAGGTCACTAAATTTGCCTTGGAATTGATTGTACATTTAGCTTATTCGGTGTCAGGATCTTTAACAAGTAGTCAGCAAGTGATTCTACATATTTATTTCCACTTTGAAAGTTCAAGTCGACTTTGAAATCAAGCACTACTGCTCGAACAGACACATCGATTGATTAAAATGGCACTGTACTTTTCTTTTAAATGGGAGCTTAAAGAGATCATTTTATTTACTATTCCAGGTAAATGCCAGTGCCTTGTGCAACTGTCCACACTTCCAGTAGCAGTTTGCTATGGTTGTGGTTTTACTAGTAAAGACGCTCAAGCTAGTGCCGCTCAAAACGCTTTGGAATATCTGAAAATCATGACCAAAAAGTGAGCCAGCGCTTTGCTCCTGCCAGCTGTCACAATCAACTGCAAATCCCACAATAGTATGCTGTCCAAGAATCAGAACAACAATACAGATACGAAAATCTTATCGGTGACCAACCAAGTGTCGGACAAGAGTAAAAGTGGTTCGAAGCTCGATCACGTAGGGAACAAAACTAGACTTTCTAAGCTATCTGTTCGAACGGTGAACACCGTAATAGGGAACAAAGACACCACTCTGAACACGATCGCTACTGCACCGGGTGCAACAGTCGCCGCGAGTAGGATAAATCAGCCTCTGAAGAAGAACAGCGGCACTAACGAGTCCATAAAGTCGACCGATCAACAATTATCAAAGAGTTCATCGATCGTGACCACGAATCAATCCAGCGTCAAGTTCGGTAGCGTGAGAAGCGTGACTACGACCTGTGTCGGTGGCAACGTTTCTCATGAGATTCCAGTGAAGTCCAAAGATTACTCCACGAAGAAGTATCCCAGTGAAATCGACTCAAAGATGAAGAACTATCAGATGCAGCCCGATTACAGCAAGGATTCGTCCATTAACAACCAGGACTACAAGTCGAGGAACAACACGGCCATGAACAACTTGCCGTCGAGATTCGTGAACCAGACGCCGGTGCCAAGCTTGCACAGAGAGAACCACGCGGCCTCCAATACCCATCATTCCAGACCGACTTCGCAGAACGATAACACTGCGTTCGCGGTGGCTAGGAAGGCTTTGGAACAGCAGAACACAGCCTCGAAGATGGCCCCGATCAACTTCCCCCCATTAAGGGCTCCGCAGAGCATCGTGAATGTTCGCCACCCGTTCGTCACGGAGGCGAGGACAAAGCACAACGAGATAGGGCCGAACTCAAAATCAAAGCTGAACATGAGTCCCTTGCAAACCGGGGTCAAAGACTTAGACCATAGTAGGCAACCGTTTCACAGCTACGGCACCTCGCAGATCGCTGGTATACCGAGCGTTCAGAGTCTCAGCACGGCGAACATGTCTCCTTATCCTAGACCAGACAGCTTTCCTCAGCCGACAGTGGCCAGCGTGCTGTTCCCCGACACGTCACAGTTCCCTCAATCGCCGCCGTTCAGCACCACCCAGATTGGACAGTTGAATCAGTACCAGACCTACGATCCTGGAAGCTTCGCGACCACACCGGTCAACGTGAATCCGGTGATCCCCCAGTTTTCCGCGGAGAGCTCAATACCTTATCCGCAGTACGACAATCCTCCACAGTTCGTGCAACCTAACCACTATCCGACCGCGGACATAGCGAGTAGTCAGTATCAGTATCAGGCAGCGGGTGTGGGACAGCTGCAGGACTCGCCGATGTTCATACAAAGCCTGCAAAGTCCGATCGCCGTCACGGACCAGTATGCTGCTCCGAATTATGCGAGGACAGTCAGGACTGAGTTGATACCACGATTGAGGAGGCCGCCGAGATTCAACAAGTAGAAACGATTGTTTCTATTCTTCGGTTTTCCTCCATCGTTTTGGTCTTCGAACGTTGCTGAACAGCGATGCCGTTGAACACAATAGGCGCGACTGAGAGAGATAGATGGAGAGGAAAAGAGAAAATTTCAGAGAATGAACGATGAGCTTGCCAATCGGATCGTAGCTTTGACAGTGTGTGAAAGATGTGGTAAAAGTTATTTCAATTTTTGATCCATTTTGAAATAAATTTTAACCAGTCTCTGCACGGTTCATAAACCTCGACATCAGGAGTCTCTTAAGGATTCGCGAGTATGACCGAGAACTCTGTTCGGTAGACGACGGTTTTATATACGTGTATAGTACATAACGATATGTACAGGCGAAGAGAAACGCGCATCGGAAACTGCAACGAAGAATCATTATCGGCTTGTTCAGAACCTTCATTCGATTCGTGACACGGCAGGGCATAGCGAGTTGAGCTCGAATTCTAATTTTATGGCGTAA